CTGCCCTCACCCTCCACCCTTCACCCGGAGCTCCAGATTACTTCAGGGTTACTCACACTTCCTGCATCTACATTCATTTATTCTGCAGTTACTTCCAATTCATGATGTTCCAGATTGAATTTGCAGCCAAACAGGCTCTCCGCTTTCCTGGCACATGGCCGGTTTTTCAAACAACTGCATTTTTATCTGTACCCTCTCTTCTTAGGCTCATAAATCTTCCTTACGATTGCACGCACTGTCTAATACTCCATCCAGTTCCGTTTAACCCTTTTTGTACTTTTTGTAGTAATGCCTGCAGTATGACCCGCGCCGGTGAGGTCTCAAGGACGCGGTAATGAAAATGGTGCTTTCCCTGCTGTTGAGGCTCTCACAGCATTGCGGGAAAACAGACAAGCAAAACATGAGACAGGCCATCCTGAAAGAATGTAAAGACCAGGATATAATACAGAACCTGTGACTGTGCTTGACTGGAAGCAATAATGCGTCTTTCCAGGCTGGCAGTGGAAGATCAGAGAGGAGAGAGCACACTCAGTGAAAAGGAACAGCAATGCTAAGGATGGAACACGGTGTTTCACGCATTCTAGAAGTGCAAGGCCAGGGAGGAGAGCCTGCTGGGGTAAAGCAGCCTGGAACACTGACCACCTGGCCACACACCTGGGCTGCTCTGGAGGGCGTGGGAAAGCTCGGGTGCTGCAGGGGAGATGCGTGATCTGCTTTGTAATTTAGATGTCACACCCGACGCAGCTCGGGTGCCCAGCACTCTCTGTCTCTCACCTTCATCCGCACAATGACACGAAAGAGGAGGCAGCACTAGCGTCCAGTGTGGGGGAACTGCAGGTTTTTTATTTTATAAGAATAAACTGGATTCCTAATTTAACAATTACTATAAACATCTTTTCATACATAAATCTAAAAATACTAGCATCATTATTTATGATCATTTCAGTGTTCCATTGCTCCATTCATCTGATGGATTATGTAATTTTAAAACAGACTTACTGAGATATAAGTAACACCATGAAATTCACCCATTTAAAGTGTTAAACAGAATGGGTTTTTTTCTGTCTTTCGAGTTTTTTTCTTTTTCAAGACCAAATTTCACTCTTGTTGCCCAGGCTGGAGTGCAGTGGCGTGATCTCGGCTCACTGCAGCTTCCACCCCCTCCCCCAGGTTCAAGCCATTCTCCTGCCCCAGCCTCCCAAGCAGCTGGGAGTACAGGCACCCCCTACCACACTTAGCTAATTTTTTTGTATTTTTAGTAGAGACGGGGTTTCACCATGTTGCCCAGGCTGGTCTCGAACTCCTGACCTCATGATCCACCTGCCTCGGCTTCCCAAAGTGCTGGGATTACAGGCGTGAGCCACTGTGCCCAGCCGGAATGGTTTTAATGTATTCATGCACTTTTACAACAATCACCCCAGTCTCATTCTGGAACATTTTCATCTCTCTGGAAAGAAGTCCTGTGCCCATCTGCAGTCCCTCCTCCTGCCTCCGGCTCCCCAGCTCCTGGCTCCACTAGTCTGCCTTCTGTCTCTATGGATTGCTATTCTGTGATGTTTCAAAGAAAATCTCTAATGTTAAATGCTTATGTTATTTCTACATGTTTTTCTATTATTAACAGGTCCTGAGAAACAACTAATACCTACATTTTTAGATTTTGTCTGATTATATTAAAATAAATTTCTAGAATTAGAATATGTGAAACAAAAGCATGTCCTTTTTTTGTTAGTTTCCCAAGTCACAAAATGACATTGTTGAGTGTATGTTTTTCTCATTTGTGTGAAAAAATACTCCATAATTGATGCTGAAAAAAGAATTTTCAAGAACACTGTGTGTGAGTGTGTGAAAACGAGTTTTTGAGCATATTGTTATGATCTTCAAGAAACATATAATTAAATTTACAAAAGACTAAAAGACCAAATACAAGCAGTCTGGCATTTCATGATTCCCAGCAAAAAAGCAAAAAGTTTACAGATTTCAAGTATCTCTTTTTTTTTTTTTTTTTTTGAGATGGAGTCTCACTCTGTTGTTCAGGCTGATGTGCAACGGCGCGATCTTGTCACTGCAACCTCTGCCTCCCGGATTCAAGTGACTCTCCTGTCTCAGCCTCCTGAGTAGCTGGGATTACAGGCATGCACCACCATGCCCGGCTAATTTTTATAGTTTTAGTAGAGATAGGTTTTCATCATGTTGGCCAGGCTGGTCTCGAGCTCCTGACCTCATGATCCACCCACTTTGGCCTCCCAAAGTCCTGCGATTACAGATGAGAGGCACCGCGCCTGGCCTTAAGTATCTTTAATTACTGTCGGTATAACTTATAACTACTGCCCTTGCTTCTTTGAGAGATACTTTTTCCAATACTTGTGGTTTAGCTCCAAAAAGTGTATTTCCTTGCAGTATTTTTTGCAATGGTTATTGCATTTTCTCTCACAAAATAAATGCAGGTGTCATAATGCAAAGTGAGTAAGATCAGCCTGCCACGCACGAAGAGGTTGTGGACCGATATTATTTATCAGTATAACTACAAAGACACATAAAACATTAGGAAGTCAATTTCAATTGTTTATACCAGGAACGCAAGTATGGTTCCATATGGGAATGCTATTAACTGTGATAAACTCTTGAAAAACATCTGCTTAAAAATGCAGTAGCCCTACTTGATTATTAAAATACTAGTGGTAAAATACAAACAGAAGGATAGTTGCTACATATACATCCCCTTGGCCAGGCACAGTGGCTCACGCCTGTAATCCCAGCACTTTGGGAGGCCGAGACAGGCGGATCACCTGAGGTCAGGAGTTCGAGACCAGCCTGACCAACATGGCGAAACCCTGTCTCTACTACAGACACAAGAATTAGCAGGACACGGTGGCACGCGCCTGTAGTTCCAGCTACTCGGGAGGCCGAGGCAGGAGAATCACTTGAACCCGGGAGGCAGAGGTTGCAGTGAGCCGAGATCACGCCACTGCACTGCAGCCTGGGAAACAAGAGAGAAACTCCATCTCAATAAATAAAACACACACACACACACACACACCCCGTCTTCTGCTTAAAGTCCTTTAAGGCTCTTTATTGCATTTAAAATAAAATTTTCAAGCCTTAACAAGACTGCAAATTATCTGGGCCCTGCTTGCCCACACAACCTCCTGTCTCTCCATTCTCCTGTCGCTCCAGCCACACCGGCCCGTGTTAGGTTCCTACCCCAGGATCGTGCCATTGGACTCCAACCTGACAAGAGCAAAACTCCGTCTCAAAAAAATGAAATAAGTAAACCAAATAAAATTAAATACTACCATAACAATCCACCACATCCCACGTGCACTTGGTTCTGTTTCTGACGCTCCATCCAGTTCCACCCGTCTGCTCACTCTCGTGTCAGCACCACGCTTCTTTAGAGTCTGGATATTTGGCAGAGCAGGCTTCCTTTGTTACTCTTTTTCAGTATTTTCCTAGCTTATTTTCAGGCTTACTTTTAGGTGAAATTTAGGTTAGCTTTTGTTTCCCCAAAATCCTGTGATCTAGACTTTGAGAGGTGAAGCTTCAGATTCATGCAAGTGAGTATGGATTCCTTTTGGTAATTTTGTCCATTTATGAAACGCGTAGCTTATGTCTCTCTGGAGAATCGGCAGGACCTGCCCAATTCTTGTTAACACCGTAATACGTAGATAATGTAAATGGGATTGCTTTGTATTATATTTTAACCTAATTGTTTACGTAGATATAACATATGGAATAATGGGCACTATTTGAGTACCTTTTTCCTGAATTTTATCCTTGCTACCCCCATGTTGCACGTGAAGGATCCCACTTCTTTGTTTTGTTTTGAAATGGAGTCTGGCTCTGTCGCCAGGCTGGAGTGCAGTGGCGTGATCTCAGCTCACTTGCAACCTTCGCCTCCCAGGTTCAAGCAATTCTCCTGCCTCGGCCTCCCAAGTAGCTGGGACTACAGGCACGTGCCACCACACCCGCTAATTTTTCTATTTTTAGTAGAGACAGGATTTCACCATGTTGGCCAGGATGTTCTTAATCTCTTGACCTCAGGATCTGCCCACCTTAGCCTTCCAAAGTGCTGGGATTATAGGTGTGAGCCACTGCAGCCCGGCCAGGATCCCAGTTCTTAAAGAGCTCAAGGAATCTGCCTGAGGTTGCACAGCTAGTAGGTGGCGGCACTCGGATTTGCATTCAAGCATTCTGAGGGCAGAGTCTTTATTGCTACACCATATGGCTTACTGGGAGCACCATTAGTCTGGGGTATATTCATTTTGTGTTTGGTAACTTTACTAACATCCCTTTTTATTTCCAATGACATTTCATCAATTGAGGATTCCCAGATAGACTATCATGTAAGCAAATAATTTTCCCCCCTTCTTTCCAATATATATGCCGCCCCCATGTTGCATATGATGGATCCCAGTTCTTTTTTTTGAGACGGAGTTGCCAGGCTGGAGTGCAATGGTGTGATCTCAGCTCACTGCAACCTCTGCCTCCTGGGTTCAAGCAATTCTCCTGCCTCAGCCTCCCAAGTAGCTGGGATTACAGATGTGTACAACCATGCCCACCTAATTTTTGTATTTTTAATAGAGACCGGGTTTCACCATATTGGCCAGGATGGTCTTGATCTCCTGACCTCGTGATGCACCCCCCTCAGCCTCCCAAAGTGCTGGAATTACGGGAGTGAGCCTCCACGCCTAGCCAACATACCAATCTTTAAACACTTCAAGAGTATAGTAAGATGATAGGATTTAAAATAAGTCATCGATATTATTTCTATAATACTGAGGATGCCAGATTAGAAGTTGCTGGAATAATTAAGTCACACAGAGATTTTCCGCATTGTTTTTGTGCCTGTTATTACTTTGTTGCCTACCTAAACAAATTATACAATTTAGTCTATTTTTAGTGCTAAGAAAATAGTTTGTTTTGTTTATCTTCATGTCATTCTACAATTGAGGGCACCTTGTAAACATCTGTTGGTGCTAATGTTGCAGAGAGTTGGGGAAATGGATGGAGGCAACCACAGTGAGGGTTCAGAGTTCCTTCTCCTGGGAATCTCGGACAGTCCTGAGCAGCAGCGGATCCTGTTTTGGAAGTTCCTGTCCATGTACCTGGTCACAGTGGTGGGAAATGTGCTCATCATCCTGGCCATCAGCTCTGATTCCCACCTGCACACTCCTATGTACTTCTTCCTGGCCAGCCTCTCCTTCACTGACCTCTTCTTTGTCACCAACACAATCCCCAAGATGCTGGTGAACCTCCAGTCCCAGAACAAAGCCATCTCCTATGCAGGGTGTCTGATGCAGCTCTACTTCCTGGTCTCCTTGGTGACCCTGGACAACCTCATCCTGGCTGTGATGGCATATGATCGCTATGTGGCCATCTGCCGCCCCCTCCACTATGTCACAGCCATGAGCCCTGGGCTCTGTATCCTGCTCCTCTGCTTGTGTTGGGTGTTCTCCATTCTCTATGGCCTCATCCATACCCTCCTCATGACCAGAGTGACCTTCTGTGCATCCTAAAAGATCCACTAACTCTTCTGTGAGATGTACGTCCTGCTGCGGCTGGCATGTTCCGACATCCACGTCAACCACACAGTACTGATTGCCACGGGCTCCTTCATCTTCCTCGTCCCCTTAGGGTTCGTGATCACGTCCTACATCCGCATCGTCAGAGCCATCCTCCAAATACCCTCAGCCACAGGGAAGTACAGAGCCTTCTCCACCTGTGCCTCCCATTTGGCTGTGGTATCCCTCTTCTATGGGACTCTGGGTATGTTATACCTGCAGCCCCTCCAAACCTACTCCATGAAAGATTCAGTGGCCACAGTGATGTATGCAGTGGTGACACCCATGATGAACCCTTTCATCTACAGCCTGAGGAACAAGGACATGCATCAAGCTCTGGGAAGACTTCTAAGGAGACCCTTTCAGAGGCTTAAATGAAGGTAATTTTGGAAAGGGGATTGAACTGGAGACCGGAAATATCCTTCACCGTATGTAAGGCATTATGCTGTGGGATATGCAACAGTAATCAGAGTACAGCTCCAGCTCAGAACGAGCATTTCCATCTGTGCTAAAGAAAAGACACAATGTGGCCGGGTGCGGTGGCTCACACCTGAAATCTCAACACTTTGAGAGGCTGAGGTGGGCAGAGTATGAGGTCAGGAGTTCGAGACCAGCCTGACCAACATGTTGAAACGCTGTCTCTACTAAAAATACAAAATTTAGCCGGGCATGGTGACACATGCTTATAATCCCAGGTACTCAGGAGGCTGAGGCAGAAGAATCACTTGAACCCAAAAGGCAGAGGTTGCAGTGAGCTGAGATCACACCATTACACTCCAGCCTGAGTGGCAAAGCAAGACTCTGCAAAAAAAAAAAAGACATAATATGTATTCCAGTGCCTCCCAGACCTCACAAGCCTTGGCAATAAATAATGTCATGCTAACACTACTGCCAGAATTTTAGAGGTCAAATACTTAAACCTGCTTGATCATAGGCCCACAGACCTAGGCTTACCTATATATACCCAGTTATGGCCTAGGGAGGTCTCTCATGTTCTCCAGCACCCATTCACTTATGATCCAGAGGTCTGGCTTCTCTAAGGAGCCTGCTACCCTCAAGCTCTTTGGAGAAGACATTTTGCACTACCCCTACCACAGATACCCTGGGTGAGGCTTCCCCTTTCCTGATGCTCTAACAGGTACAACATGTACCACTTCAATGCTGACATACAGTCACTCTGGACACAGCCCATATGGTTCATGCAGAAATGCCAACAAGATTCCTCTTGTGCTCTGGGTTGGGTTGATTTTATCTTTTGGGCCTCAAAGCAAGACTCTCTTGCCTTTTCCTTCAGCATGCCTTTTCTCTGTAGGAAGCCAGGCCTTGTCCTTGGAAAGACTATCCTATCTTTTATTTTTGTAGTGCCTCACCTTCCTTCTCTTCATGCAAGAATTCCATTCACCCCTCAAAACAAAACTCTCAAACATCAATGGATATTCAAAAGTAGCAGTGGTAGTAGGGCCAGTAGAAGGGGAGGATTCTGGAACAAATGAACAATTTAGGAAGCCCAGAGAACATAGAAGAAAGGAGATATTTTAATAAATAAATTGGGAATAGAACTTAATAAAATATAAACCAAAAATATAATGAAGAAGATTTTAAAAGCCAAAGATTGGTTCTTAGAAAGAAATGAAGTGAATAAACCTCTGGGATATTGATTGAAGAAAGAAAAGACACAAGCAAACATTACAGTGGAAGAATGGGGGTAAAAACTAAAGATAACATCAATATTAGGATGATGAAGGGAGAATATCATCAACATCTACATGCCAACAATTTTGAACATTTCAACAAAATAGATCCTTGAAAAACTATGACTTGTCAAAGCTGACTCAAGAAGAAACAAAAAAATTAAATAGTCCTATAACTAGTACAATTTAAGCAATTGTTTTAAATATTCATATATATGAATATGTACATAGATCACAAATACAAATCCATTTATAACCAACATTTAGCAAGTTATGGATCATCCAGTTAAAGAAAAAATCTTTGCAGAGAATAGTAAAAGAAATGAAACTTCCGAAATAGTTTTATGTCATAATTATCACCTGTATATCAAAGCAGAAAAAGAGTACAAGAAAGAAAAGTACAGGAGCTAATTTCACTTAAAAATAAAAGTCAGGTATCCCAAAGAAAATACTAGTAAATTGAATCCAACAGAGTTTTTTGTTTTTTTTGTTTGTTTGTTTTGTTTTCTTTTGAGATGGAGTTTCACTCTTGTTACCCAGGCTGGAGTGCAATGGCACCGTCTCGGCTCACTGCAGAGTATTTTAAAATAATAATACTGCATAAAGACCCATTAGGATATATCAAAGGTATGTAAAGATAATTTGATGCCTTTAATCCATAAATGATATTATATTGTCAAATTAAAAGAAAAAAATGAACGTCAATAGATGCAGAGAAAGATAAAATTCTAAACAAATATCCTTGATAAAGCAGTAAAATTATTAAATCACACCTTTTAGTGTATCTTTTTATACATCTTTTGTATAATAAAATGGCAAGTACACATAGAGCACTTCCGCATCTCAGAGTACAGTGGTTGTATTGTTAGGAAGTACTTGAGTGATTGTTTGAATTTCAACTCAGCCAGCCACTTTATGGAACATTATTTTTATTTGTAATAATAACTGATAAACCATAGTTATTTAGAACTGGTATTTGGAAGATGTTTCTACAAAATAAATGAAGTGAGCCTGTCACTGTAAGAAAAACTGACAGTATTTGTTGCCAATAATACATATTTGGTCTATCAAGCAAATATCACCCCTTTGGAAAATTTATCCATTATGGTGATGGATATATATTTCATATGGACATGAAATGTGCCAACATTTGGAAGATCTGCATAGCTCAGTGAGCCAACATTTTTTAAATGACCAATGCACTATGTGAAAAAGTTGCACATGGATAAAAGATCAATTTAGAATGCAAAAGAAGCCAATGGATTTTAATGACATAGGGGATAAATGTCTATTGATATGTTATCAGATTCTGCATTGCTACTAACCTTTAAGAAACTACCACTTACCACATTTTGATGTAGTATCAAATAATATTAAATGAAAAGGTTATTAACATAATCTTCCCTTTTGCAATTACAAATCCGTATCAGGTTGGATTTCTCCATACATGTCAACCAAAACAACATATCACTACAAATAAATGCAGCAGCTGATACAAGAATCTAGCTCTCTTCTATTAAGCCAGACGTTAAAAAAATTTTGAAAAAAAGTAAAACCATACTATTCTTCAGTAAATTGTTTGTTTTAAAATATATAGTTATTTCTACTTAAAATCCTACTATAAAAACATGTAATGGTAGTATTGTTTTGTGAATGAATTAGTAAATAAATATTTTAAATGTCTTTCTAATATAAGAATATCAATAGTTACAACCCACATAAACACAGCTCACAGCTCTTTTGGTCCCCAAAATTTTAAGCCGGTGAATGTATCCTGAAACCAAAAGTTTGAGAACTGTTCTAAAGTACAACATACTTGAAAATTGTTCTCAAATTCAGGAAATCAGCTCCTTTGAAAAACAGGACAAAGTGAGGGAAAGGAATGGGGATAGAGCTTTAGAGCTATCTATAATATTTTAGACCTTTTTTTAACAGAAAGAAGTGACATGATCAGGTAACAAATTAATATTTTTAATTTTAATTTTAATTAATATTTTTAATGTTATATATGTGTCTAAAATTATTTTCTTATTTTGTTGTATGCTTGAAATTATTCATAACTACTTTTTTAATTTTTAAAAGAGCCAAAGGTTTGGGTTGCCATTGGGTTTGGCTTGGATGTGGAAAACACATTTGTCTTAGTCAATTAGGGCTGTTATAACAAAATATCATACAGTGGGTGGCTTAAACAACAGAGATTTGTTTTCTCACGGTTGTGGAAGCTAGGATTCACTATCAGGATGTCAGCATAGCTGAGTTCTGGTAAGACTTCTTCCTAGCTTGTAGGTAGCCACCATCTTGCTGTGTGTTCACATAACCTCTTCTTTGTGTATGCAAGGAGAGAAAGGAAAAGCACTGGTCTCCTCTTCTTGTAAGAGCACTAATCCCATCACGGGGGCTCACCATCAGGAGGTCCTCTAAACCCAATTCCCTCCCAAAGGTAATATCACATCGAGGACTGAGCTTCAACATACGGATTTGGCGGGGACATAAACATTCAGTCCATAACAATATTTCTTTCCCCTCCAAACACATAGAAAACCTAAATCATACTTTTTTATTTAAAACAGAGTCAAGAAGAGAGTAACATAAGCAGGATGACAGAATAGGAGTTCTCCAGCTTCACTACCCCACACAGAAATCCAGCTACAAGTACCCACAATCAAGAATGCCATCCTAACACATGGACACGGGGAGGGGAACGACACACACTGGACCTGTGCGGGGAGTGGGGGCAGTGGAGGGAGAAAATCATGATAAACAGCTAATGCATACAGGGCTTAGTACCTAGGTGATGGGTTGACAGGTGCAGCAAAACACCATGGCACACGTTTACCTATGTAACAAATCCGCACATGTATCCCAGAACTTAACATTTTTAAAAAACATCTTGAATATTCCAGGAATTGGGATTGAGGCTGAGACACCACCTTGGGCCACGCAATTGAGAATAGCCATGACCCAAGAGTAACGGAAATTGTTCTCTGACCACACCACCCTCCCCAAAATCAGCACAGCACCACACACAGAGAATTTCCCTAGACCCACAGTTTCTACAGTAAGAAAAGTGGATTGGAGTCCAACACCAAGTTTCCCCACCATTCTGGGATCCTTTGTAGGATGAGATAAGCTCATGCTTGTCTTATCCCAGGGGAAATATAGAGGGTACCAGCAGAGTTAGACCAACTGGGGTCAGTTAGAAACTGGGGTCAGTCTCTCTATTCAATAATGGCGCTGAGATAACTGCCTAGTCATATGCAGGAAAAAAAAGTGGACCATTACCTTTCACCATATGCAAACATTAACTTAAGATGCATTCAAGACTTAAATGTAAGACCTCAAACTATAAAAATCCCGGAAGAAAATCTAAGAAATATCTTTCTCAAACCTTGGCAAATTAACAAAAGGGCATCAGCACGGCAAAAGAAACTAACTCAGGAACTACCAAAAGAGTAAACAGACAACCTGCAGAACAAGAGAAAATATTTGCAAACTATGCATCTGACAGAGATCTAATATCCAGTATTTGTAAGGAATTTAAATCAACAAACAAACAAAAAAAAACCCATTTAAGAATGGCAAAAAGGAAAAGACATGTCTCAAGGGAAGGCATACAATTGGCCAACAAACATATGAAAAAAAATGCTCAACATCACTAATCATGAGAGAAATGCATATCGAAACCAC